CTTGCCAGCTATCTACACTGGCCGCTTGAATTTCCGCAAAAGCACTGACGATCTCATGTAAGATTGTCAGTGCTTTTGTGGAAATACTATGCTGCCCCCGTTCGGGCAAAAGTCTTTTTCCGAAAAACTTTTGCGCAAAAGGGCCAGTGTAGACAGCAGAGATTTGTTTTCCGCAAAAAAGCCCCGATCGCAAAAATGGCGATCGGGGCTTTTTTTGCGGAAAAGCGCGTCTAGATTGGCCACAGACGCTTTTCCACAAAAAGTGCTTTTGCAGAAAAGCGTCCTGCCAATCTAGATGCGCTTTTCCGAAAATGCTTTTAACAGAAAACTTTTCCGTTAAAAGCATTTGAGGAAAATCATGCTAGTGTAGACGTAGCCGACATGTGGTGCTTGGCTTGTATTGAGCATGCTCAGTAACATTGCTGAAGCTGCTGTCCTCAGTCTGCCTCCCATGCTCTCACTCTCTGCCCCCAATCACGGCATGCACAGGTCACCGCCCCCCACCAAAATCTGAAATGGCGTCCCTGCATAGGTGATTATATGCAGTGTCTGTGGAGGTGGGGAGGATTTATATAAATGCAATACAGCCTTGCCAAACATGGCATCCACCTTCGCCTGCTAATTGATGGCATAATGAGACATGAACATATGTACTGATGAACATGTTGCTGCCCTACAGATATCCTGGATAGGGACTTGTGTGTTTTCCATGTTTTCCTCTCCCATGGAGCTGCAACCAAGGCAGCACTCATCCTCTAGCACAGTGGTTCTCAAATTTTATGGTCTGGGGACCACCTGGCTCAATGCAAACCTGGTCTCCCCACTCCCATGACTGTCCAGTTCATTTACCTTGCTAAAGATGGCTCCCAGCATCCCACCACAGCAGGACCCTTAGGGATGCTTCACAGGCTATGAGACAGCCAGGGACTGTGTAGCATTGACACTAAGGCTGGTTATACAGGCATCTCTCACCTGGTGCAGAGAAGCAGCTGGCCCTGGTGTGGGACAGGGATCCCCTGCTCAGTGCTGAGATGCAGCCACCTCTTGGGTGGAGCTGTGTAAAAGCAGCACTGCACAGTTGTTCAGTGGGTTTCAGAAAGAATTGTTGGTTAACGCTGACCTCAGTTCTCTGATGCGATGCTAAAGGGGTCAATGGTCTATCCCCAGCTGGGGGAAGGGAAGGCTAGTTTGTTAAAGCAGAGGGTGATTTCAGAGTCCTGAGTCTGGCCAGGGGCACTACATGTATGCACACTGCCATATGGCCCAGGATCTGCAAACATACTCGCACTGTAGTAATGGGGTGAGCGTGAGCTGACGAATGAGGGTGGAAAGGACCTCAAATCTCTCCTGGGGAAGCGATGCTCTGGCCGTAGTGGAGTCCAGGACCACTCCTAGGAACTCTATCCTCTGGGTAGGCACCAAAAGGGATTTCTTTTCGTCTATAAGGAGGCTGTGCTGATGGCACGTGTCCAAGAGGAGGCAAACGTCTCTCTGAATCTTCTATTGGGACAACCCTTTGATGAGCCAATTGTCCAGGTAAGGGTACACCTGGATGCCCAGACGCCTCCAGTATTCCGCCATCACTGACATGCCTTCGTTAAAGACCCTCAAGGCCATAGACAGTCCAAAGGGCAGGCCTGCAAATTGGAAGTGTGTCCTTGCAACTACAAATCTCAGGAAGTGCCTGTGGCCTTTGAAGATGGCGATGGGGAAGTATGCATCTTTGAGGTTGAGGGCAGCATACCAGTCCCCAGGATCTAATTCGGGAACAACAGTGGCCAGGGAGACCATACAGAACTTGAAGTGGGCCAAATACTTGCTGAGGCCTCGCAGGTGCAGTATAGGCCTTAAGCCCCTCTTCGCCTTGGGAATAAGGAAGGAGTGAGACAAACCCTTGTTCTCAAATTCTGGTGGTACTCTCTCTACCACTCCTACCATGCTCAACTGGGACAGCTCCTGTTCAAGGAGTTGCTTGAGAGAGGAGGCCCCTGAAGAGGGACCAGAGCGGAGGGCAGGAAGGCAGCATAGAGAATAGCTGGAGGGTGTAGCCACATTGGACGGGTCAGGACCCAACAATCTGACATAATTTTCCTCCATGCCAAAAGGAAGGGACGTAGCCTGGCAGAAAACAGTCAGGCAGGATCCCAGGCGTCCTGTATGTCGTCCTCGAGCACACCCTCAAAAGAAGCGGTGTTGCCCTGGGACTTCATCTGGCTAATCAACAGTGGCCAGATGGGGGGTGGCGGCCTTGTTTGCGTTTTGGAGCTTAGGGCGTGAATTGGCCCTCTCCAGGCAAGAGTACAGGGTCTTTTGTTGGGGCCTGCAGTTTGAACTGCTTCTTCTGAGACCTGGGGATGTAGAGGGCCCAAGCTTTTCAAGGTAGTATAGGAGTTGTTAAGCCCATGCAACCCTGTGTCCGTCTGTTCTGTGAACAGGGCCCCTGTGTCAAATGGCATGTCTTGAAAGGAGTTCTGCACCTCTGGAACAGACCTGACTGGAGAAGCCAAGCAGCTCGCCTCATGCAGATAGCTGAAGCCATGTAGTGAACTGCTGAGTCTGCAGCATCAGACACTGTTTGTAGAGGCTGCCAGCGCCACTGAGGAACCTTCCTCAACTCCTTGCAAAATGCTTCGGGCAAAGAGGCCTCAAACTTTGCTAGCACCCCCCAGGTGTTCACGCCGTAGCGTGTAGGCAGGGGCTGGTGGTTTGCCACCCTCAGCTGGAAGCTGGCCAAGAAATATGCCTTTCTACCAAACAAGCCCAGTCATTTGGAGTCTTTATTCTTGGGGGTGGGCATTGGCTGGCCCTGTTGCCCCCAGTGGTTCATGGACTCCACCATGAGGGAGTTGTGTGGGGGGTGGGTATAAAGGTAGTTGTGGCCCCCTGCTGGGACAAAGTACTTCCACTCTGCCCTCTTGGCTACTGGAGGACTGGAGGAGAGTGTCTGCCAGAGCGCCTTCGCAATTTTGGTGACTACCTCATAACACCACCCTGCCCAGGGCCCAGTCCCCCAGGCAGAGTCTTTCACAGAATTTACAGATTAACTGTTCACAGGCACTTCACAGTTCGTTAATGGGGAACTTGAATACAAAGGGAGTGCTTGCCAGAGCCAAAGCTGGGGCATGCTGTTCCAAGCACCTTCACTGGTAGTAAAAGAGGAACAGGGGCACCCTATCTAGAATGACGTGTGTGCGCCACTCCAGGGGGCAGTGGGGACCCCAGCTCCTATAAGTATGGCTTAGGGAAAATCTTCCAGCACCTTTGCACATGGCAGGCACACACCTATGTTGAATGAACATGAGCAAGCACTCGAAGAAGAAGAAGACAGTTACCTTTTTCTGTAACTAGTGTTCTTGGAGATGTGTTGCTCATGTCCATTCAACCTCCCACCCTCCTCCCCTCTGCTGGAGATCTGGCAAGAAGGAACTGAGGAGCGAGGGGCCAGGGAGTGTCCAACGTAGTGTGGCATATGTACATCACTCCAGGGGGTACTGACCCTGGTGGGTATTGCTTAGAGAAAAACTTCAGGCACTGGTGCATGTGGCAGGCACATACACTTTTGTTGAATGGACATGAGCAAGCACTCAAAGATTCACAGGTTTTATACTTCTATGCTAGCTGACTTTAGGAATGTTAAATATCGGTTAATTGAATAGTCGATTAACCTCATATATTCTTATTGGTTACTGGACTATTCTACAGTCCCCAGGGTGGGGCTGATAGCCAGTGTGCTCTGGCCCCACTCCCGAGCAGCCCCCTGCCACTCTGTGTTGCTGCATCTGATATAGACAAAGCAGCACAGAGTGCCAGGCAGGAACTGGTCCGTGAGGGGAGCCTGTTTAAAAACCAGCTCCCCTCAAGAACCATCTGCCTGTCATCCTGCATTGGTGCCTCTGATACAGAGGCAGCAGCATGGGGTGGCAGCAGCACCTGTCCGGGCAGGGGCAGGGGTTGCAGACAGAACTGAGTTGGGCTAACTACCAGCCTAGCTCCTAATACACTTTAAATGCAGAGCTGCAGCAGGGGTAAGTTCCTGACCTGGTGTGAGCCAGGACTGAGCTGTGCTACAGGCCTGCCTGCTAAAAAATTTACTAAAAAAACAACAAATTGTCTAGTAGCACTTTAAAGACTAACAAAACATATAGATGGTATCATGAGCTTTCATGGGCAAAACCCACTTCTTCAGATGACCGGAGTATAATGAGTCCAGATCCAAGGATAAATAAGGGAAGGGTCAGGGGAAAAGGGGAAGGGAGGAAGAAAAAGAGAGACAGTGAGTAGATAAAACTTGAACAACAACAAATATGTACTGGCAAAGATGAGGGGAAAGCATGTAGTCTATAGCATTAACCGACAAGCTTTTGCTTATCGGTTAATCAACTACACTCTTACATCTCTAGCTGGATTCCCCTAACTTTAACATTTCCCAGGGTGCCCTCTCAATCCTAGAAGAGATCAAGTGTTACAGGGACAGCACCCACTCAGATGCTGGCTTGTTTCTGGATTAACTGCTGTTGTTAAAGTATTGACACTATTCCCCTTCAGCATGAAAATCAGAGGCATGTGTGTGGGGTGGGGGTGGGGCAGGTTAGTTGTTTGATCCATGTGTATCAAGTGGGGGTTGGCCCAGAGTATACACACCTAGGCATAATGTACAGGACTATATTTTGTTTCAGCTACACCAGACTAACAGGGCTACATTTCTATCACTAGGCATAATGTGTAATCCATAGTAAAGGCAGGCCTAGAGGCTGCTGGAGGGAAGGGCTTGAGGAAAAGGAGATGCTAAAAGCTCCGGGCAGAGGAGGGTGTAGAAGCAGAAGTATCTGGCAGCAGTTTAGAAGACGAGTGGGCAGAGAAGCAGAGGGAAGAGCAGAGAGGAGGGGAAAGGGGAGGGTGGGGAGAGAGGCAGGGCAGTGGGAGGAGAGCCGTGACTGGCTAGCGGGCAGGGCAGGTATTGAGAGGCAGGGCTAGAAGGAGGGAAGAGGGGCAGGGCAGGCAGAGGAGCGGTGAAGAGGGCCGGGTTGGGATCAGCTCAGCGGAAACCCGGATTTAAGGAGTGGCACTTTTCAAAGTATCCTCTGCGTCCCGTCCGCTCACGGCAGCTGCTCAGCGCCCCGACCCTCGCGCAGAATGGCAGTGAAGGGCGGCACCAAGTGCATCAAGTACCTGCTCTTCGGCTTCAACTTCGTTTTCTGGGTAAGAGCTCCGCGCCCC